ATGAATAACAACAAACTTAATTTAACTACTTGGTCTCACTGCAATGTTTTAGACGTGAAAGTCATGTTTTGATAAAGCTGTAAATTCCCTAAATTATCATACTGTATGTGTGTTTGTGTGTGTGAATTTACATCTACCTGAGTTCACCAACATGTTGCTGGATTAACATATATGTTGATCCTGGAACATTCCAATCAGCCAATCAGAATTAAGGAATCCGTTTACAGTTTATGTTGAGTTTACGGTTAGGTTTATGCACTTCTACGTGATTGTTATCCAACTATTTCCCTGTGGTTTTGGGAATCATTTACAGTTGTGGTTGGGTTTAGGGGTAGGGAATAGGTATGGATTACATTTTCGAACAAAAATGATGTTCCAGGATCAACATAGATGTTAATCCAGGATCGCATTATACTTGGCAAAATCATAATGCACATGAATTTACTTCCAAATTTGCCATGAATGACATACAGTAATAACCACAGGAATGTTCTAGCTTATAGCATATTGACATCTATTATTTTTTACCAAAGTAATATTAAAGTGACAAAAGACTCTTCATGGTTAGTTTAACCAAACCACAATCAACAGAAAAGCCATATTTTCTCTTTGTTTTTACAAAAGTTGTGCTTAGAGATATCAAACTAGGGCCCGCTGACCAAAGCTGTCCCATGGTATCTTTTGATTTGGCTCGCCATCAAATTTGAGAAAAGAGGAGGAAGGTTGGGGCGAATGCTTTTAACAGAGATCATCATTTCTAATTTAACCTAACGTTTTGTTTCTTTCTTTCTTTCATAGTTAAGCAACAAAAAAGCAAGCTAAAGTTAAATGTTAGAATTAAATGTTGTGCATAAATCAGATTTTTAAAAATGTAAATACTGTCACTCAAACATAGAGAACAATGCACGAGACATTGACGAGCAAATCAATAAAAAGTTCCTTATACAGTAAAATGTAAAAAAAAAATATTTATTTAATTAATAATACGATTAAAGTATTTTTTGTATGTATTTTTAAATCTGAATAAATTAGGAAATTACCATGGCAACTTTAATGTAAAAGTTTGGTATATTTAATTTTGGCCCACCACCCTCAATCGAGTTTGGTTTTTGGTCCTTCATAAGAAAAAAGTTTGGGCACCCCTGGCTTACAGTGTTGCCATATCCACTTTTTTTCAGCACTTAAAAGGAAAGTTCTCCCAAAAGTGAACATTCTGCTATCATTTACTGACTCTTCACTTGTTACATGTTTGAGTGTTTGTTTGTTTTTTGCTTTTGAACTTAGAGGATTACAAAAAAAAGTTGAAAACCAGTAACCATTGACTTCCATGGTGTTTATATTCTATGGATGTCAATGTTTATCATTAAACGGTTAAATGATTAAATGGTTTTTAACATTAAGAAAGTTAATAATGTAGAGAGGTTGCTACTGTATGTTTTGGTATGTAGCGCGTTTATTTAAAACGTTTCCTTTTTTTAAAAAATGAGAGCTTAATTCTTATAATCATGCACAAAAAAAACTGAGCCAATGGGTTTACTTTTTAAAGTAAAATCTACTAATCGCTTTAAAAGCCACAGGTTTACTCATCTGTTTTAAGTTAAGTCAATTAATAATTTTACTAGGGCTGGGCAATTAATCCAAAAGTAATTGAAACCGACATGCAGAACCTATAATTGATCAAATTTTTCCAGGATGATTTTTTCAATTACTTTTTTCAATACCCTCGCTCTGTTAACGACTGAGGCTGATTTCTACTTCTGTGGCCACTTTGCAGCCGATCAAGTTTTACAATGGACTCATTCTTGAGCCTTACTTTGCACTACATTGATGATCATTGGAAGCTGCGCCAGAGATGCCTTTTAGACGGCATATAAAACTTGTCAGTGATCTATGAGGGCAAAAAATGAAATATATAAATAAAATAATTGTTAATTAATCAAGTTAAAATGTTTAATTAACCGAGATTTTGATTTTATGCCAAATCATCAAACCCTAATTTTTACAGTGCAAAAATCAGAGGGACTTGACTCATTTGTGTTGCCTGATCTTTCTATCAAATACAAGTTAATAAAAGCAAGCACATGCAAAACTTAAATGCAAACCAAAACACTGCAACATAAATGTGCTTACTTTGTTATGAACTATACTGCTTTATGAGTCAAGCACAGATATGCTAAATACAGTCATATATGTATAAGTGAACATGGCAACACTAAGTGTGTATTGAGAAAAGCAGTCACCCAAGAATAGCCATAAAAACAGAGACTGTTTTGACAGAGATTAGTTAAAAATCACTCAACAGAAAGAGTCATTAGTCTTGTCAAAAATACAACATCCCAGAACACTGATAAACTTGTTACTTCACAGTGATATCACATAAACTTGAGTTTATTTAATATAAGTTATATTCGAATGTGTTTGCAGACGTAATTTGCTTTGATATTTTATCTAACACAATACATTATTATTATTTTGTGGGGCTTTTACATTAATAGCACAGTAAAATTTACAATCAAAAGTAGGAGAGATGTGAAACTCAGGAATTGACCAAGGTCAGACTCAAACCTGAACCAACAGCTCATATTTGTCCTGAGAACAATATGCCACATCTTTGGCAAACTCATGCATTTTTAAGCTTGTGTCCTTAACCTTTAAGGAATACTTTCTGAGGCTACTGCATTTCTAGGACCATTCAGTAGAATCTGGAATGTTGCAGATAGCAAAAGAATGCAAGATATCCATTCAATGCATTCTGCATTAGGCTTTGATTCATGTGTTCACAATCAAGCAAACCAACTGAAAGTCCACAACAATAAATAGCTGATTGTTTAAAGTTTGTCCACATTATTTACAACAGTATAATAGGGTAATTTCCTATACCAGGGTAATTTCCAATAATCATTATAATGTTAAAATGGATCTGCAGTAGCCTCAGAAAGCATTTTTAGAGGCCAAACATATACTTTATCCTTGTTATATAAACTTCTGTCTCATTGGTAACCTGAACCATTTTTTTTTTTTTTTTTTTTGAGAAATAACAAAGCCATGTTTAGCCAGTGTGGTACAGAACAGCTGAACAGGCAAAATAAACCCCTTCTAGAGTAAAATGGATAGTCATTTTGAGAAACAAAAGCTGATTCATGTCAGAACAGAAAGTGCCAAACGAGACTTGTTTACTTAGTCTTCTAGCTTCTTAGCTTGATTATTACTGTTGTTTCAGAACAAATCAGCAACTTGTGATAGCTTTTTGCCAAAGGCTAAAACAGAATCACATTAATGGATGTAATTTAGTTGTAAAAATATTTTAATCAAAACTTAATTCATTTCACAGTTGAAACGATACTGACACAAGCGTTTGCTTTCTTTCAATATGGTCATCTCTAAAAATAATGATAATTTGCAGTTTAATAAGGAATTCAGCTGTCGATTTTGAACAGTTTATTGAAAGAAACAGCTCATTCATTTGGGAATCAAACTATGCTGGTAATGCTAATGCATTTGACTCACTAAAAAGATCCAGCTTGTGAGAGTCATGTGTTCAGAAATCAGACTATACTGGTGTCAAGTGTGTCATTTAATGTTTTAGATTTACTAAAATGAATCAATATCATGTGATCGGGAAACAAAATAGTATTGGTTATGCTTTTAATTGACAGGTATCAGCTAAAAAGAGTCATTGGTTTGTAAATAAGGCTGGTAGATCTATCATTTGATTTACTATTAAGAACCAGCTCTTAACTCACAAGTTTTTTATAGATTCAGACAACACTGTTGTTAACGTTAATGCTTTTGATTCATTTTAAAGAATCAAAGAATCATTTGTTCTGGAATAAAACTGCATTGGTTTTGTTTGCTTTTGATTCACTTAGAACCAGTCAACCGGAGCCAGTGATTCATGAAAAACATTGGTTGAGATATAGGTGTTTGATTCACTAAATCAGTTCTTAACTTAAATGTTTTTTTAAGAAATTCAGACAAAAATAGTGTTGTTGAAGTAAATGCTTTTGATTCACTAAAATGAACAATTAACCATATGTTCTGAAATCATAAGTCATGTTTGTGAATCAACTAATTGATTCATGAATCACATTGGTGGTGCTATGTTTATTCGATCCACTAAAAAGAACCAGCCCTTAGCTTAATACATTTTAAAGTGATTCAGACTTCACTGATGGTGTCTAGTGATTTTAATTTTCTAAAAAGAACCAAGAACCATCGTTCTATAATCAAAGTGCATTTGGTCATGTTTGCTTTACAGTTTTTTTCAGTCGCTTTGGTGCATTTCTCACAACACTATTTACATTTGCACAATAGTTAATGCATTTCTCAAAACAATTAGTCATTTGGGCACATCCTAGTAGCAGTTTATCTTTCCTTTCAACAAATTGCAGATGCTTTTGGACAAGCATCAATTGCTTTCATACAACTCTCTGCTATTTATAACATTATCATTTGCTTCTGTCATGTCAGTCAAAATGAACTAAACTTGTGAACGCTGAATAGTCATTCCATATAAAACGAATAGTCCTCATTTCATTACTTGAGTCATTACATACAAAAATGATGAACTGGTTGTCAAAATCTGTCAAGCAAATAAAAAATAAAAAAAATTAAATCATTATTTTCCTGAAAATGTCTTAAAAACTGAACAATTTGATGAATGATTTACAGACCTGTGTTTGTTGTAGGTTCAGTTCCAATATGTTCTGCAATATTGTTTACAGTTGTGCACAGCTCTACCCAAAGAAAGTTTATGTTTGTTGTAAACAAGGGTGTATTTATTGTTTTGCACAATGCTGTGAATAAATTAGAATATTGAACATATTCAGTGTCTTGTACTCAGATACCTCACTAAATGCAGTGATGTCTAACTTTACTGTAGTTTTCAAATGGCTGTGCAAATAGTATATAGTTCTGTCTTGAGCATTTTCAGGAAGTGTCAGCAACATCTGACTTTTTTGCATTGAAAAAACTTACAGAGTAAACTGTCATAATGAAAACATGACAGAGCCATTTGACTATCTTGTTCATAAACAATGGTGTCAGGACTTTTCATTTTGATGAAACTGACACTTTGATTGACATGAATACTTGCTTTTGAGGAATGAACTATACATTTTAAGCATGTGATGTGCTTTTGCAGGTTATCAGCTAGGTTTTGCAGTTTGTACTAATTGTTTTAAGAAATGCCATGAAGAAGAACCATGAACCATCTGTTCTGTAATCAGACTACATGGGTCATGTCTGCTTTTGATTCACTTAGATCCAGTTCATAAGAGTCATTGTTTCATAAATCAGATTGGCTGCACTATGGGCATTTGATTCAATAAATAGAACTAGCTCTTAACTTAATAGTTTTTTAAGAGATTTGCACAACACTAGTAAATGCATTTGTTTCACAAAAAAAAAAAAAAAACAAGAGCCATCTGTCCTGGAATCAAACCTGTCCATAAGAGTCATTGGTTCAAAAATCAGCATTAGATTCACTAAAATGAGCCAGTGCATAAGTGCAAAAGAAATCTGTGAGATCAGGACTTGAGGACTTTGCTCATGTTCAAGGTGATTACTTGACTCTGTCACGTTCAACAACAGAAAGCTTCTTGGTTTGGGAGTGTCTTCTTTGTGAGCCGTGCTTCGTATATCACAACACTATAGACAATACACCTTTTTATCTTCAGATCTCTTTAAAGCATTCTTTTCTGACAGCTCATTTGTATTATCACTGAACTCTGATTCATTCATTCGTTCATCTCAATAAAGCAGATTCTTGTGTTTGCTTGTGTACATGTGCCTTTATAAAGTGTTTTGGTGTTGTATGTTTATGCAAGTTTCTTTTCATTTCTTTATACTGTTTTGTTACACTGTGCACATCGAAATTGTCTTGTCTTACACTATGACCAATGGAATTAGCTAAAACATGTAAGCTATGTTCATCAGCTGTATTTGTATTGTTGTGTGAGGTATTGTTTGCCATTGCCGGATGCGCATTTGTCTCAATGTTGCGCTTAACAGCTCTGTGGGCTGCAATGTTTCTGGAGGCCGCAATCTTTTTAGCAGCAGCGGCTCGTGCGGCTGCAAGCTGAGGGAACTGCTTGGTGTACAGAGCCGAAGTGTACTGTAGTTCAGGTGTAATCAACCTCTGACAAAGCTGACGGGTGTCATTATCTAACCCCACCCGGAGGTTATAACCTTGAATAACTGCTGCGCCATACTGAAAGGGCTTCAGCGATGAATCCTGGACCTGCGCAGGATCTACAGCTCCTCCTCCCTGTAAACACATGCTCTCAAGCTCCTTCTTTTTTGCCCTCAAAAATTCGACTTCCTTTTGGAGCTCAGTCCGTCCGATGGTAGAGTCAATGCGTTTCCAGAAAGTGGCATTAAAGTGCTGGTACAATCGCCAGTCTAGTGAATTCCACTTTTTGACTCGCTCTGCCGTCTGTGGACTCAAAGGCCTGCGAGAGCGTTCACTGCGACTGTTGAGGCGGAAAGACGAAACATCATCCAGTGACCAGCAGAGGGCGTGTTTTAGAAGAACTAGCGATTCGTCGAAATACTCTGAGATGAGGATCAGCGGAAAGTCGCGCTCCACGGCAGCGATGATTTTGGAGGCATGCTTTTCCATCTCTATGTCATTCTCAGGGACCGTGTTGTCCAGGCCGAAGTCAAAGGTCAAAATGTTACGTGCATAGTGGTTATTAGGCAGAGAAGCATTGTAGCTCCGCCCATCCTGAATAAGAAACTCCTCCAGGTTTTTAAAAACACGGAATGCCGGAATGGCTTTGTAGTAAACAAACAGAGATTCCATCATCGCCACAGGATTCCGCAGAATGGAAAAATAGAACGTGTCTTTAGGCATCAGCTTCCTCACCTGAAAGTCAGAGACAAGACAATATGAACTTCTGAAAAAGATTTCCAAAACTAACTTACGAAAATCAAACGCAATGTCGACCTCTTGATCTTCAGCTCGGAATCATAAACATATCCCGCTTTGCTCAAGCGCCATCCCAAAATGCAATCTCAATGCAATCAGAGCAAATGTCCTCTAAATCAGTCGAATCTGAACCTGCCTGCTTCCATCTAGCACTGGGTGCTTTATCTTCCTCTTGAAAATTAAAACAGTCAGTTGTTTCCAGTGATTTATGTGCTTACTACGTGGTCTACATATATGCAGGATTTCAACACCAGTGAAAAGATCCTGCTTAACCAATGAAATACTAACAATAAAATCTATCTATCTATCTATCTATCTATCTATCTATCTATCTATCTATCTATCTATCTATCTATCTATCTATCTATCTATCTATCTATCTATCTATCTATCTATCTATCTATCTATCTATCTATCGTTCTATCCATCGCTCCATCGTTCTATCTATCGTTCTATCCATCGTTCTATCTATCTATCTATCTATCTATCTATCTATCTATCTATCTATCTATCTATCTATCTATCTATCTATCTATCTATCTATCTATCTATCTATCTATCTATCTATCGTTCTATCTATCTATCTATCTATCTATCTATCTATCTATCTATCTATCTATCTATCTATCTATCTATCTATCTATCTATCTATCTATCTATCGTTCTATCTATCGTTCTATCTATCGTTCTATCCATCTATCTATCCATCTATCTATGCCTTTATCTCTCTATCTATCCCTCTATCTATCCCTCTATCTATCTATCTATCTATCTATCTATCTATCTATCTATCTATCTATCTATCTATCTATCTATCTATCTATCTATCTATCTATCTATCTATAATAAAATATTATCATTATCATCATTCTGTGATTGTGATGTTATGAAATATGTATTTTATTTCTTTTCCACTCCATGCCATTTAAGGGCTTCTGTTAAAGCTCTTCACATAAATATTCAAAGAAATGACTCTATTAATTTTGCAGTGCATATTTTGGTACATCTCTCTCTCTTAAATCCTTAGAAAGGGTCGGGCCCTATTTTTCCGAAATAGCATTTTTTAAAATGACATTTAATGAAATTTCAAGAGTTCACACTCAGCTGATGATTGATTATAAAGTGTGTTTGGCATGCTGTCCCCGGAGAGAGCCCTGAACTTAAACGATTCTAAGTGAGGAGTAGGGGTAGAAGCGGGCATTTTTCAAGGCAAAGATAAGTGAGGTATGAAACTTATTCATAGTTATTCATAGTGACTTAGGAATAGTCTGATTGGTGAAGAGGGCTGGAGACTCGGTGCAGATGCAAACTGAGCTGCATCCAATGCTTTTTTAATGTGCTCACCTAACCCCACCCCTAACCCTACTCCTCACAATGACGTTACTCCATTGAGTGCATTGTTTGTGACATTGCATCTCTCAGTGATGCACTCTCAGCTTGGATCATAAAGGCTGCATCCAGATTCTATTGGAGACATGCGGGACCAGCCATGGTCCAATCATAAGCATGTGATCCAAGAAATTACTTTATAAATAAAATTCACTTAGATTTTTTGACTGTATTTTAATTTATTTAATTAATGTAATTTTAATTAATTAAAACTCTTACAACAAATTATTGTTTTTACAAAATTTAAGAACTTTTTTTAGAAACCCTATGAAATATGTTTTATTTTATTTTGAATTTCATGTTATTTCTGTCAAACTTGGATGAACGATTGTACAATTATTCTAAAATTTTTTATTTAATTTTTTGAGAATCACTTTTTACATAAAATGAATTTGACTCCCAGAGCAACATTAGACATATATTATTCATGTTTACTGCCCTCATGTATAATTTTTATAATATCTAAAAACATCACAAGCATTATGCATGACTGTGTATTGTGCGAATTAAACAAAAGCCATGCCATTCATTCAAACAGATGCACAAAACCTGTGGATTTGATATTTAATCAGTGTTTTGGCATATTCACAAACAAGATTTTGATTAGGTGCACAGAACATTCAATTAAATTACCCAATATTTGCCAGATTTGTTCATGTCATTGAGTAAATGTATATATATTCTGCAATTCTTTATCGAATCATCATAATGCTCTATTTGAGTGACGTGCTCTCAGACTGACCTCTGGTGAGCTGAATCTCATATGATTGCACAGGATGTGAAACTCTTTCACGCTGCGAGTCCTGACACCCTCCACAAAATGTGTAGCAAAGAATGCTGGGTAAAACAGCTGGCTGTGCATGTTCAGCGGCAAGGCAAAGGTCAGGTTATGACTGTCCCCATAACGATAGAGGATGTTCAGAATGGTGCTGCTTGCAGTCTTGTGCGTCTTCAGGAAGACAATATGATTTTTGGGTTGACACGTGACACTGTTGTCAGCACGTGATTTTACTGCAGGTTTATCAGTGCTGTCATCAGAGCGCGGTGGTTTTTTGGTGAAAACTGGCTTCTGTGGCTGGTTTGGAAAGTTTGTAGCCACCTCTTGGAGTTTTTGCACATTTATTGGTGGAGCTGCTTTGGTAGAGCTTGAAAGATTATTTTGGTCTGTTCCCTCTTCTTCCCTGTTGCCTCTGTTTTCTCTCTTCTGGATGAATGGATGCTGGTCTACAGGCTCCTCAACAATGACGGCTGAGACAGACCAGAGGTTTTCCCAGTCTTTGTGTTTCATGGGCCTGTGGATTTCAGCAGGCATTTGGACCAGCTGCTCGCCAACAAGTTTCAAAACTTTGGAGCTCCTGAAAGAGAAAGGGAAAATCTAAATTCTGAACTAGGATGAATGATTAGTAATTTATGGCCTATATATTACCTTGCAATATGAAAATATAGTCCAATGTAAAGTGTTTAATCTGATTTAGAAAAGTCTCCCTCCTTGACAGCCCTTTTTGGTATTTCAGAGAGAGTTTACTTGATTGTTGCCTCTTTTGCCAGGTTATTGCTTTTTCTACTCTTTTAGCTAGACAAGCCATTCTTATCAAATGGAAACATTTTACATTACCTGACTATATCAAAGGCTTACCCTGCTCGGTTGATATCAGTTCTAATACAGAGTAATTGGAAAGAGGAAATATTGACTTCTTAATGCGAAACTTTCAATATACAGTTGAAGTCAGAATTATTAGCCCCCCTGAATTATTAGCCCCCCCTGTTATTTTTTTCCCCAATTTCTGTTTAACAGAAATTTTTTTTCAACACATTTCTAAACATAACAGTTTTAATTACTCATCTGTAATAACTGATTTTTTTAAATCTTTGCCATGATGACAGTAAATAATATTTTACTAGATATTTTTCAAGACATTTCTATACAGCTTAAAGTGACATTTAAAGACTAAGTTTATTAGGTTAACTAGGCAGGTTAGGGTAATTAGGCAAGTCATGTCGAACAAGTTGATGATTTGTTCTGTAGACTATCAAATAAAATATAGCTTACAGGGGCTGATAATTTTGACCCTAAAAAGGGTTTTAAAATATTAAAAACTGTTTTTATTCCAGCCAAAATAAAACAAATAAGACTTTTCTCCAGAAGAAAAAATATTATCAGACATACTGTGAAAATTTCTTTGCTCTGGTAAACATCATCTGGTAATTATTTAATAAAAAAAATTTAAAAGGGGGGCCAATAATTCTGACTTCAACTGTGTGTGTGTATATATATATATTTTATGTTTTTATTTTAATTTTTTCAATGTATTATTGTTATTTTGTCTTTCAGATGATATGTTTGCTTATAATTCATACATTTCATTTATTTTGAGGAGAGAGTGGGAAAATAAGAAAACTAAGACAGTCTGTAATTTTTCCTATATGTTGTATTGTATACTTCTATGTATGGTCTTGTTGAACACCAATAAAAAAATTTAAATATATAATAAATAAATAAATAAATAAATAAAGTCTACCTATGCATGTTTATTCAATATGAGTAAATCCAAAACTGCCTTGAAAATGTGGCCTAAATCTGTATAAGACATTTTTTGCATGACATGGTTTTTACAGCACAAACCATTTGGAATATGATTATTTCAATATTGGAATTCCCACTTCCATATGTGGTCCTAAATCCAATACAGGTCAAATGTTTTGCAATGCCACCGTAATAATAAACATATGTGACTTCACATCACTTTAAATCAACAATCTTCACAATCCTGCTCTGACAGAACTCACAAACATTTTACGTACTGGTAGTTGTTTGTTGGCCGCTGTGTGAATATGAGATTGTCAATAGAAGGACAGTGAGGAGTTGAACTCATAAATGTTACAGTGACAGCTTGTCTGCTCATCCTCATCTTTGACCTCCTTACATAAATTCGCCTTGAAAATAAAGATATAAACACTGACTTCAGTGGCCTCTGTGTTTATTTCCATATGACAACCTGGTTTGTGTCATCTTTTGTGCATGTGGGTCAGTAAGCGATGGAATATTTTGCACAAAAATGACTGTCAGAAAAACAGTATGAGAACTTTAACATCTATGCTCTCTCTGTATCATCTCAGTGAGATGTATGCATTTTATGCATTTGTAGTTTATTCATTCATTTTCTTGTCGGATTAGTCCCTCTATTAATCCGGGGTCGCCACAGCGGAATGAACCGCCAACTCATCCAGCAAGTTTTTACGCAGCGGATGCCCTTCCAGCCGCAACCCATCTCTGGGAAACATCCACATCCACACACACATACTCATACAAACACACTACGGACAATTTAGCCTACCCAATTCACCTGTACCACATTTCTTTGGACTGTGGGGGAAACCGGAGCACCTGGAAGAAACCCACGCGAAAACCAGGGAGAACATGCAAACTCCACACAGAAACGCCAACTGAGCCGAGGCTCGACCAAGCGACCATCTTGCTGTGAGGCAACAGCATTACCTACTGCGCCACTGCTTCGACCGCATTTGTAGTAGAAGACTTAAACGTGCAGCATGTAAGTTTGACACCCAGTTGATGATCTAGGTACAGGATGCCAGACTGTCAACATCAACAACAGTGTGCCTGACTATTGAGCTAAAGCCTGATTTAAGGCTGATTTAAACTGTTCTAAATAAAAGCAATGGCACGCGATAAAAGGATTATTTTCAGATTAAAAAGTGTTTTGTTCTAACCAACACCTGAAATTTCTATTTTAGAAACAGCTTCAATTTCTTGCTGCTGAACAACAGGATAGACTGACAATGATCACCTCAGGTACACCTCATGTGCTTTGTTCAGTGTTAAATGCTAATGATGTGAGTTTGAATGTCATTTTACATGACATTTATTGCCGTCCTACTGAAAGCAGCAGCAGATCACCTCAGATCTTAAAAAGAAAATAAATAAATTGAACTTTAGAACTGTGACTCAGTGCAAGCCAACACAATTCAGTGACTCGGCATGTACATTTAATAATGTGAAAAAGGTTTAATAAGTATTAATTAGATAATAAACCTTACCATTTAGTTGGCGTGCAGTGAGTGCACTATTCTGTGCTTCTGAATGGCTGTATTTAAATTTCTGTTGTGTTTCGTCTAGTGCAAACAGCCAAATTGCTTATCACTGCAAATCTCATTACATAGCGGGTTGTTAGAACACAGGGTAACAATGTAACCCGCTCACTTAATGTTTATGTTCATAATATTTATATTACGGCGAAGCAGTGGCACAGTAGGTAGTGCTGTCGCCTAACAGCAAGAAGGTCGCTTGGTCGCTGGTTCGAACTTCGGCTCAGTTGGCGTTTCTGTGTGGACTTGGATGTTCTGCCTGCGTTCGCGAGATGATGGAAGGGCATATTTTCCAGAGATGGAAGGGCATCCGTTGCGTAAAAACGTGCTGGGTAAGTTGGCGGTTCATTCCACTGTGGCTACCCCGGATTAATAAAGGGACTAAGCCGACAAGAAAATGAATGAATTAATATTTATATTATTTGATAATTAATAACCTCATGTGGAACTCTGAATCTGCTTCTCATTTTGAAGTCTGTTACTGTCCATTGGAGATCGCATTTCAGTCGCGGATGCATGCTTTGAGAGCCTTTCTGACTGAATAATTGAAATATGCTGTTTTCCACAAGGGCAACCTGAGGTGCTGCAATATAAATGGCTAAACTGGCATTAGGTGGGTTAAAGGTACCAAAACAAAGACAGCTTTCCGGCACGTAATGCACATTTTCAAAGCAGAATATCTGACTTCAGCATTGCTTTTCAGATAAACAAGTATGTTCACTTAACATGTTTCTTAAATATTTGCACACTTTATAGTATTGTATGCTTTACATAAGACAAATTACAAACAGCACATTTAAAGATGCTGTATGTAGGATCGACGTAGTGGTTGAACTAGATATTGTGGTCCAATATTAAAATGTCATACATGTAGGTTTTTTTTTTCACCCATTCAATCTCACATCAGTTCATAACTTTTTGATTTAGAGGGTAATTTGTAAGGATTTGTACAATCTAATTCCTAAATTTTAGTATGACTTGCTCATTCCTCAGAGGCAGTTATATTTAGGGGTGGGTTTGAAGGCATCCCTCCCTACTGAAAAATAAACAGCTTAAACCAGCCTAAATTGGTCGGCAGGGTTTAGCTTGTTGACCAGTCTGGTTTTAGAGAGGTTTTGGCCACTGCCAGGCTGGTTTCCAGTCATTTCCAGCCTGGTCTTAGCTGGTCAGGCTGGGAGATAACCAGCTAAAACCAGCTTGACCAGCCTAGCTATGCTGGGAGCCCAGCCAAAACCAGCTATGTCCAGCTTAAACCAGGCTGGAAATGGCTGGAAACCAGCCTGGAAGTGGCCAAAACCCCTCTAAAACCAGGCTGGTCAACCAGCTAAAACATGTTTTTTCAGCTAAAACAAGCAGTTTTTTTTCAGCAGGGCTTCTTTCAAAAATCATATATTCATGCAAAAACTAAATAATAAGAATTTGAATGAATTAGCCACTTTTATTGTTGAGATCTGGTCTGATTGATGACACCAACAGGAATGAGCGTGCCTAACAATCAAGACTTAAACAGTATACTTACTGTGTCAGCTATAGTTTAGTTAAGTAATGGCTTACTGATCGTCTAATGTTCAGAATGTTTGTAATATTTGTATGATTTGCAAGTTAAAATAGCATATATTGCTAATGTGCTATATATAAAGCAACAATGCCCTTCTGTCATCAAAAGTTTGTAAAGTGTCTTGAGGACCTTTCCCAATCCTATCCCTTTTCCAACTTCACCTTCTGTTTAGCTAGCTCTATAAAGGCAAAATAAACAGCAAAAAAAAAAAAAAAAAAAGTATCCAAATTTATGTAGATGCAGCCTAATTTACCATGCATTTCCAATAAAACATGCTTAACCTGGCCTGTCGGACCACTCCCAGCATCTGCAGAGCTACACAGAGGACAGTCAGAACCATCAGAGCAAACCACATGAACCGCAGGCGACTGCAACACGCCACTCTCACACACCTGTAAACAAACAGAAAAAATCAACCAATCTAAAACATACAAAAAGAAAAAGGGTTAACCTTTACAATCCCCTTTTAGACTTTCAGTTGACTGTGTAATTAACTTTGAGACTACAAACTCATTATAGTATTAGAACAGTATTAGTAGACCTATTAGGCCCTGTTTACAGTATCAGGAATTAAGTTGCACTTTCCCCAATCCGATCACAAGCTAAATACAGCTGTAAAGGAGGTGTAACATTTTGAGCGTGTCCATTTTTGAACACTTTCAGAGGTATTTGAACATCGGATTGCGTACATAATGTGGCTGAATTCATTCAAACAGATACAGAAGACCACACGCTTTCTTCCAATGACTTTTTTGATTATGTGCTTAAAAAACATATCAAAACTATGAATTAAAGGGATAGTTCACAAAAAAATATATTTATTCACCATTTACTTACACTCATTTGATTATAAACTTTAATAACAAAACAATATAAGATATTTTGAAGAATGTTTTACAAAAAAAGAAGCCATTGACATCCATAAGAATAAAAAAATACAATGACAGTCAAAGGTTTTCTGGAAGTGTTTTTTTTTTTTATCATTCCTCTGTATATCTTTTCTTTATATCTTTTGTTTTTAACAGAAGATAGAAACCCAGACAGGCTTGGAAATGAATCCATCCAGATCATGATTTGTGAAAAGATCACTGAAATTATTTGTTAACTTTCATAGTCTTTGACTTTGCTGATCATGCATAGCAAAAATACTACTTTTATGCAACAGAATGTCCAAAGGGGACCATTCCCCTCCAAAAAGTAAATGTAAGTGATATATGCAAATGCAGCTTAGCTGAACAGCCTTTTAACAAGATGATAAGGTCAAGTGTAATTGTGAGAATTTAAGTAGCGTGAGAGATCATTGAAAAACAGAGTGGAGTTGGGCAGTAGACTGCTTAACCATTGTGGTAAATGGAAAAAAAACACCATTATAAAAGCATTCCAGTAATCCATGTTATTAAGAAGCATATAACAATCGGGCCTTTGAGTATGGCATTTATCTAAGGGGTAAGTGAAGGAAGAGTTTTTTAGCATTTAGTGTAGTATAACAGTATGGTAAAGAGCATCTAAATGGCAAGGTAATGTAGAGACACCGTTTTAGTACGGGGTACACAAATTGTATTTTAGTTTCAGATCAAAAGTTGAGTTTTCTTAAGTCTTTTTGAATATGATGCCACAAGCTTGGCAAACCTGTCTTTGGACTCTCAAGTTCAAGCTCTATCAGGTTGGATGGGAAATGACGGTGTACAGCCATTTTCAGATCTCTCCAGATTATATAATTATGGTAGGAAATGTACAAAATGTCCTTATTGAATATAATCTTTAATTAATATTCTAATGATTTTTTGGCATGAAATAAAATCAACATATTACAATTATCATTGAAGAGTCGCAGAACAATGAAAATGTATTTTTGAGACGAATAAATAACATAAATTATGTGGATATAATATTTAATAAATATAATAATTTTCACAAATTTACACAAAGCTAAACTTTAGATGGCTTTCTCGCTGTAATTAAATTTTCTGTATGTTTAGGGTTAAAAAAAATTTTACATACACTCCCTGTGAAAAGTCTTGCCACCAATCCAATTTTTAGAAACAACAAATAATAACTTGACTTCTAGTTGATCATTTGGTATCAGAAGTGGCTTAAATTAAAGGCAAAGTCCTCTAGATTATGCTTATTTTACCAAAATAAAATATAATCATGCCTTGATTTTTTATTATTTAATAAAAAGAGTAAGGTCTGACTTTGCTTGGACAAAAGTCTTGTCTCTTAACAGAAATAATGTCCAGTATAGAATATAAAGTCATAGTGCGGTGGAAAAAGTATTAATATTGTGTCTGACACCCATGAGCTTAGAGAACTGCATCCATAAATCACTGCAATGACTCAAATAACTTAGTAATAAAGTCATCTGAAATGGCAAAGAAAGTATTCATGCAGGACTCCCAGAGTTCATCAAGATTCTTTGGATTCATCTTCAATGCCTCCATCTTACCCCAGACATACTCAATAATGTTCATGTCTGGTGACTGGGCTGGCCAATCCTGGAGCACATTGACCTTCTTTGCTTTCAGGAACTTTAATGTGGAAGCTTTAGTATGAGAAGGAGCGCTATCCAGCTCAAGAGTTTTGCTTGTCCTGTGGTTTGTAATGTAATGGGCAGCATAAAATTCCTGATACCTCAGTTGACATCAACTCTGCAGATCTCTTTCATGCCCCCATACTGAATGTAATCCCAAACCATGATTTTTCCTTCACCAATCTTGACTGAATTATGTGAGAATCTTGGGTCCAGGCGCGTTCCAATAGATCTTCTGCAGTATTTGTGATGAGTTGGATGCAGCTGAACAGATAAACCTTCTGCCACTTTTCCAAATGATCAACTAGAAGTCAAGTTATCATTTGTGGCTATTACAACTGGAATATATGACAAAACTTTTGTCAATAACTTCTGTCATGCTGTATATTAATAAATGTTATATTCTTTACATCTCAAAATTGATGTTTGTGTCGCAGTGGTTTCTCCTCTTCTTCAAACAGTGTCTCTAGGTTTGCATTTGCAATGGTTTCACCTTACAGGTAAGTGACTTTGAGAGTATTGGATTTCCATTGCGATTCATTTGGCATGCAAAATGGTAAAAGAATGGGTTCCTTAGAGGAAAGAGTTTAACAAATGCAATTCTCTTCTCCTTCTCTCCTTTATTGCCCAGTACTGTTTTTATTTGGTCAAAGCATAAATTGCTTGGTTTGAGTCATGTTACAGCATAAATGAATTACAGACAGTCATTTACCAAGTTAAAATTAGACTGCCGTTGTCACTGCCTGCACTTTCATTAAGTCACACACACACACATAGAATGTTTTGCCTCTAACCAAGGAAACCGCACTGGTGCTGAAACAGCAGTCTTCAAGTTCTAAAATCCAGCAAAACTGTTCAGGATCCAAAACAATTTATATAAAGACAGCCCAAATTAAAGTAAGGCAAGAGAACATTACAGACATTGACATTTTAATTTACACATTATACAATTTAACTGGCTGCTTTAGCAAATGACTACCTGGTTACTTTGTTTCTTCAAATCAATCCACAACACTTCAAGTTTGAAGACTTCTTGAAGAGACTGGAAGTGAATTTCTAAGGTTGCAATACATATGAAATATAAAAACAATGTGAAAACTAAAGTTTGAAGTGATTTCCTGCTATGAACATATGCATTTCATTTATCAGAAGATGAATGAAGCAAACATCTTTAAACAATTCTTTTGGCATGCTTCAATACTCTAATGAGAACAGTGTGTTTGTTTATTTCTCTAAAATATTATATGAACTCCTAAACAAGTGCATTGTTAAATGGCTGGCGAATAAAGGTTTATAGAGTTTTATAGTTCTATACAAGCATAAGCATGTTTATGCTGAACATAATCAGCATGTTTTGAGCATTAAAACTCTACAAAACAGTCATTAAGTCTTACATGATGGCGACGGCTGTGGTCATACAGACAAACACGTGCAAGCAGGAGGAAAAAATTAAAACTCTTTAACCAAACCTTGCACATTCCCCCAGGCCACAGAAACATCTGGAATGGGGAATTCAACCTCTTCTCTTGTCACATTAATCTAACATATGAACACAACACACACATGCATGCCAGTTTTCCTATATGAACTAATTACATAAGTTGGAAGGTGAATAAAATCAATCCGATGAGATGTGAAATGATGCATGGATGAATGAACGGTTCAAGTAGTTTCTTAACATGAACATCTGGTTGAGGTCTGTTGTTTCAACAGCCTTACATGCACAAACATTGCTTCTTCTGAAAGTCTAGAGTAGGCATGGGACGGTTTTCAAGTTATACAGCGGTTTGGAAAAGTCAAGTTTTTTTCAGAATTTTTTTGTAATACCGTTCCTAAGGTAGGCCTATGTTTAAGATTTTTTTATTTACATTTTTTTTTTTCATTTTTAGGACAACAGTATCTTCAACAGAAAAAATATCCAAAGATGCCATTTTAATTTGTAAAGAAATCTGTTTTTAAAACTAAAGAAGATAGCAGAAGTCAATTAATCATTTAAATTATTTAGCCTGACCTAATCACTGTCCCAAAATATTCTAAATGTTTCAAAAAATAAAATATATTGTATTCAAAGGGGGAAAATGTTTTAGTTTTTATCCAAATAAATAAAAATAATAGATTTTAGAGCAGTGGTCCCAATACCATGATCACTTGAAACCCTGATATTTTTATCCAAGATTATCATACAGTCAGAATCTTATACCGGCCCATGCCTAGTGCAGAGCGGAGAATCTGCATTTCATGAATAAATGAACAGTAAACAATAACTTAAAACACGTTTCATTACAGTTTCCATTTTAAGGAATAAGACAATTCAGTTCATGTAACATGAGATTTCTGGTAAACTTCCAGGTACATTTTGTAGCCTATCGTGTGTACATTTGGGGACCTCAAGGGCTATCGAATACCTTTCTTTCATGATGTGTATATATTGAGAAAACATTTGTTTATGTTTCTTTGTAGAACTATTTTCTTTATTTATTGTGATAAGAAACGTTAATAGGTGTCTCGGGTATCTTGTCAGCTTTAAAGTGTGTAGCCTGTAATACCCTTGCTAATGTACACTGGTCATCATCAGTAGTATGGTCTCTTTAATGTAAAGTGTGACCCGATGAAGTGAAATTGTTTTCTTTAAAGCAAACTCAAATTAAGTAAAACTATAAACAACTCCCGCACTTTTTGCCCAAAATGAAACAAACAATTTACCTCAATAGGCTTCATTACAGCAAATAAAAGGAAAATACTGTATGTTTTAAAAATGTTTTTATATTTGAAGTGTTAAAAATGTGACATTTAAAACCTGAATGTGACGGAATGCAATTCAACTCGGTTCTTTGAAAGCCAATAATCAGAGCGGTGAGGAATTTCAGGAGGAGCGCGGCAGCGCGCGCGCGGGAATAATTTATCACGCTCGTGCATGAGAGATGGAGAGAAACGACCGTTATTAATCTGCACATCCGGCGGGAACGCACTGTCGCTTTCAGACGAGCATTAAATGTCACTTAAACTCACAAAACACGGTAAGTAAGAGTGTTTCTGAGGGAAAACTTACAACAAAGCATCTGTATGGTGAAATCTTATGGGAGTTCACTTACGTGGTCCACGGTGAGGCGGTCCGCCAGTGAAACGCTCTTCTCTCGCGGCTCGAGATTCTCTGAGACGGGAGCATGTCGCTCGCTTTTACCGGAGTCGACAGCCCCGGTAAGCCCCCCGCCGGTCCCCGGACACTTCGGAGCCGTTAAACGCTGCCCCGAACTCGTGAAACCCTGCTATCCGTCCCTCAGGTCCACTGGTGGGACTCCTCCCGCTTACGACGGATTGGTTCTGAGGAAAAGACAGAGAAAAAGAGAGCGAGTGACATATAGAGAGCTTCCAGTGGCAGCTATGATAAATAATATACATTTTATGCAAGACCTTACATTGAAGTACGCTAAAAATGCGTCCGGAAGTTTGAGGAACTGTCCCAAAAGCTCCTTCAAAGTCTTTTTTTTTCGACACACGAGCAGTGATGTAAATACTAATGACAGCCGACGTAATCCATTCCTGTCTTACTGTGATCCTATAATACTGAGTTCATTACAGACTGAGGCTGAGCACACCTGTCTTCCCTCCCTCTCTCTTTCTCTCGTTCTGCTTGCCCCAGTGGCACTGGAGGAAAGCAAGAAGTATAATCCCTTCTATGTGCCCTTGTTGTTCTTCCCTGATGAGGGAACTTGATGCCGAAACTCTGAGCACTTTGTGACTGCTTGGAGCACAAAGATATCTTTGTGCCCTAATAAAAATACTGCACTAATACCAGGGGACAAGCAGGTAAAAAGTCGGGAGAAGCAAATAGCAGGATCATTGTAAAGAAAGTAATGCATGGAGGATTTTTGTGTAAACTTCAAAATTCGACTTGCAATTTGCAGGACTTTAAAATCAAGTTAGGTAATTATTATATTATCTAAAATTCAAATACCTACATCATATGAAAACAAATAAGAGATTACTGTCACATCCGTCTGTGACCACCTGAGGGCGCTGTAGCGCTCTAGGACTTGTAGGCGCTACAGTGCCCCAGGGAAAAAACTACATTCTCATACATCCCACGCGCATACACCGGAACACTTACACTGACCCGTCATCTCATCTGTTTTGTGTTACCGTTGATTATCTGGACTATATATTCTACCATTCCACCTATGTTTGTCATCGCGTCGTTGTCTACCTTGTCTGTCTTGATCCCAGTCGTGCAGTAAGTCTGATATTCTTAGTTGTTTTGTTCTTGATCGTGTTTTTGTATTTTTGCTTAGTCTAGTTTTTCGAGTTTTGTTTCCTGAGCCTTGTCTCTGTTTTGGTTTCTGATTTTGTGGTTTATTTGTACTTTGAACGCCTTGTTTTATGTTTTTTGCACTGTAAATAAATCTGCACTTGAATCCGCTATCTTTTTGTTCCTGTTTTGCTTTTGTTTTGATCACGCCTAACGTGACAGAACGACGCGATCACAAATGGATTCAGCAGATAGCCTTATAGTGCGTATAAAACAAGGTAATCGCTCAATTGAGCGATATATCAAGGAGTTTTTGGAGCTAGCCCCGAAGAGCTCTCATAGTGACTTATTGCTTATGATGTTTTTCCGGGGAGGACTTTTGGATCCAGTCCGTTCCCAAATGCCACCGTATGAGGAGGACTGGAACCTGTATCGGTTCATTGAGGCAGCCTTATTGATCTCTGGCTCCCCTCTCTCTGTTGCCCTGAAAGAGGAGAACCCTCAGGAGGGAGGCCTGAGTGAAGGGCAACAGAGAGGGATATTTTCGGGGCCAGCTGATTTGTCTAAGGGAAGGAGGAGAGAGGCTGGACTGGAGTTGCGGGCTTATCCGCGTCGGGCTGTTCGGAGACCACCCTTTTCGGAGCCTCTGGAGAGCCTGCTAGAACTGTGTGGAACGCCAGTGTCGGCTCCAGCCCCAGAATGCCCGCCAGTGTCGGCTCCAGCTCCAGAGCAAGATCCCTCTCCTGATCACAACACTCTCCCTTCTCAAACCACCAGACGAAGGAGGCACAGGAAGAGGACTGCCCATGTCCCAGAGCGCCCGCCAGTGTCGGCTCCAGCCCCAGAGCGCCCGCCAGTGTCGGCTCCAGCCCCAGAGCGCCCGCCAGTGTCGGCTCCAGCCCCAGAGCGCCCGCCAGTGTCGGCTCCAGCCCCAGAGCGCCCGCCAGTGTCGGCTCCAGCCCCAGAGCGCCCGCCAGTGTCGGCTCCAGCCCCAGAGCGCCCGCCAGTGTCGGCTCCAGCCCCAGAGCGCCCGCCAGTGTCGGCTCCAGCCCCAGAGCGCCCGCCAGTGTCGGCTCCAGCCCCAGAGCGCCCGCCAGTGTCGGCTCCAGCCCCAGAGCGCCCGCCAGTGTCGGCTCCAGCCCCAGAGCGCCCGCCAGTGTCGGCTCCAGCCCCAGAGCGCCCGCCAGTGTCGGCTCCAGCCCCAGAGCGCCCGCCAGTGTCGGCTCCAGCCCCAGAGCGCCCGCCAGTGTCGGCTCCAGCCCCAGAGCGCCCGCCAGTGTCGGCTCCAGCCCCAGAGAGCGCCCGCCAGTGTCGGCTCCAGCCCCAGAGCGCCCGCCAGTGTCGGCTCCAGCCCCAGAGCGCCCGCCAGTGTCGGCTCCAGCCCCAGAGCGCAGTCCAATGCCAGTTCCAGTCTGGCTTCTGGCCTTACCGGCGCCACCCAAGCTCCTCGCCCTGCCGGCGCCACCCAGGCTCCTCGCCCTGCCGGCGCCACCCAGGCTCCTCGCCCTGCCGGCGCCACCCAGGCTCCTCGCCCTGCCGGCGCCACCCAGGCTCCTCGCCCTGCCGGCGCCACCCAGGCTCCTCGCCCTGTCGGCTCCAGCCCCAGAGCGCAGTTCAATGCCGGTTCCAGTCCGGCTCCTGGCTTTACCGGCGCCACTCAAGCTCCTCGCCCTGCCGGCGCCACCCAGGCTCCTCGCCCTGCCGGCACCACCCAGACGTCTTGCCCTGCCGGTCCCAACCCGGCTCCTCGCCCTGCCGGTCCCAGCCCGGCTCCTGGCATTACCAACGCCATCCAGACGTCTTGCCCTGCCGGCACCTCCCAGACGTCTTGCCTTGCCGGTCCCAGTCCGGCTCCATGCCCTGCCGGCTCCAGTCCAGCTGCCTCCAGTCCCGCCGGCTCCAGTCCAGCTGCCTCCTGTCCCGCCGGCTCCAGTCCAGCTGCCTCCTGTCCCGCCGGCTCCAGTCCAGCTGCCTCCTGTCCCGCCGGCTCCAGTCCAGCTGCCTCCTGTCCCGCCGGCTCCAGTCCAGCTGCCTCCTGTCCCGCCGGCTCCAGTCCAGCTGCCTCCTGTCCCGCCGGCTCCAGTCCAGCTGCCTCCTGTCCCGCCGGCTCCAGTCCAGCTGCCTCCTGTCCCGCCGGCTCCAGTCCAGCTGCCTCCTGTCCCGCCGGCTCCAGTCCAGCTGCCTCCAGTTCCGCCGGCTCCAGTCCAGCTGCCTCCAGTCCCGCCGGCTCCTGCCCAGCTGCTTCCAGTCCCGCCGGCTCCTGCCCAGCTGCCTCCAGCCTCGCCGGTTCCTGCCCAGCTGCCTCCAGTCCCGCCGGCTCCTGCCCAGCTGCCTCCAGTTCCGCCTGCTCCAGTCCAGTTGCCTCTCCAGCCGGCTCTCCTAAAACCCCCTGCCTTGTGTCTCCTGCAGGATCATCCATGGGTCATCCCTCCCGACCCTCCCTGGTGGTCCTTCCCACTACTTGGGACAGATTCACCGGCCCCACCCTGGCTTCCTGCTGGGGTGCCTGACCCACTGCCTGACCCTGATCTGGCCCTCCCATCCCTCCCTTTGTTCCTGCTCCGCTCCGCCCCCCCTCTTGGAACCAGTCTGGGAGCGTCTGGAAGCCGCTCTTTAGAGGGGGGGTAATGTCACATCCGTCTGTGACCACCTGAGGGCGCTGTAGCGCTCTAGGACTTGTAGGCGCTACAGTGCCCCAGGGAAAAAACTACATTCTCATACATCCCACGCGCATACACCGGAACACTTACACTGACCCGTCATCTCATCTGTTTTGTGTTACCGTTGATTATCTGGACTATATATTCTACCATTCCACCTATGTTTGTCATCGCGTCGTTGTCTACCTTGTCTGTCTTGATCCCAGTCGTGCAGTAAGTCTGATATTCTTAGTTGTTTTGTTCTTGATCGTGTTTTTGTATTTTTGCTTAGTCTAGTTTTTCGAGTTTTGTTTCCTGAGCCTTGTCTCTGTTTTGGTTTCTGATTTTGTGGTTTATTTGTACTTTGAACGCCTTGTTTTATGTTTTTTGCACTGTAAATAAATCTGCACTTGAATCCGCTATCTTTTTGTTCCTGTTTTGCTTTTGTTTTGATCACGCCTAACGTGACAATTACTTGACAATTCTCAGTTCCTCGGGATTTATTATTCACAATTATGTGTTTGAGTAAAGTGTAATTTTGGTTTAGTTCTGAAAACCACTGAAGACATTTCATATTTTAAACAAAAACATAATTTAGAGCATTTGTAATTAATTAATTAATAAAAGAGTACCTAATTAAATCACAACATCAGTATTAAACTTTCACTTAAAGGAAATCAATATTAATATCTATTCATTTTTGGTGGAACAACAGTAATTTTCGGTCACCAAAAAACATTTGTTATTCAATTCAATTGCCATATTTTCCAGGCAAAAAGGCATTAATTTATTTTTTTTTTAAGTCTAAAAGAAATGTCCTCATGAATAACTAATAGAATAAACAAACATTTAGCTAAACCCATTGCCTAAAAAATCTAGAGAAGTGCAGAAAAATAAGCACACACAAAGTATCAACAGCTGATTAAAACCATTTCTCTTATTAAACCTTATTGTGCCGCATTGCTTAGCACTCCCTGCAGTCACTGTGCATTCACTTGCATAAGAAGAAAAGAAGCTTTCTATTTAGTTTCATTTCAGCCCACGGACAGATCAATAATGATGACATCATCAGTAAAAGCCTGCAGGCTGACACTTTTCCACCAATCGATCGGTCAGGCTCAGAGATGCCTGCCAAATCGCATGGGAAAGCTCTGCTGCCACAGCAACGGCTCCAACAGGAAGCATGACAACCAGCAAACCATACGACGCCCACATAGAATTCCATCACGTTGTTCATCTGTGCACATACAGTTTGTTATTACTATACTGTATAGCAAGGATTTCACATTAATGCAAAATGCAAACTAATATCGAGGACCTTTAAGGACAAGCACAAGATCAAGCTTTTCTTAAATACGTTTTTCACATTTGCCACATTAGTTCTGTCCTCGATATCTGATGAAACCCACTGCCACCGTTTTTTTTCTTCAGTGTGAAGCAGTGTTAAAAAAGTGCTGCTGGCATATCAGTGTAAAAAAATGCAGTACATACCTGCACATTTTAATCACTGTGAAACCAATCATTCATATAAAACAGATCCCACTGATTTAAAACACAAAGTACTGGCACAATTGTGACACTACATGTTAGATCACCATTAGTAAAAGTAGTCGGATACAAAATTCTGCCTTCAGCATATGTCTATAAATAGCTGAGAATGAGACAGGGGGCGTTCAATAATTCAATTATTCTACCACATTAAAAATGGGAGAGAGGGAGTGAGACAGAAGGTCACGTCTAAAAAAAATATATGCCACTCTGCTCCTCAGTCCATACCAGACGCACTAAAAAGACACAAAGATCGCTCACAGTTGTGCAATTCAGCGTCCTTTTAATAAGTATCTGGGTTGAAAAGGCAATTAAAAGATAATTTAACAATAAGATGAGTAAACAAAATGAAAAATAAACAATTTTAGAAAATGTGCACACTCAAAATCTACGAAAATATAAAGTCAGAAGTATCTGCACAATACTGTTTGTCATTTGCTGAGTGTTGAAGTGTGAATATGGCTTGGCGTTTAAAATTTAAAGTTTGACATATTAAACTTCTAAATTTGGGTGAGCAGAAGTCTTTTTCCAATGTGTGTGTGTGTTTGTGTGTGTTTTAACACAGTGATGTGGGAGTACAGCTGGATCTTGGTGTTTGCTAATCCAACAGTGGCGCTCAAATAGAAGCCAGACATTTCCCAGTCGAATCCTCCTTCCCCCTTCTCGAATTTACTTACCCTTTCACCTCACAAGTAAGTAATATATGTTTATTACCGTAATAAACAGCGTATCCTAGAATCCTCCTGTAATGTATATTGTATTTTTTTGTATTACGTGACACTGGAATGTAAAGTTCGACCTGGATTTACTGCTTAACTATTAGTAACAGAATAAATTGCTTATTTGTGCTGGTCTGTGAGCATATGCCGTAAGACCATCTTTTGCTGTAATATATGATCCAACATTATAAGTACTTGCCAGAAGTTCATAATGACATCCAGCAGACTGACCAAGCTTAGCCAAGTACTCCCCCAAGCGCTGTTAAATCACCACACACTCTCCCATTACAACTATAAAAGTCAAATATCACCTATAACATTCAGTGAACCAAAACACACACACACAAAGGCAGAGGACGCAGACTCTCGGTTCAGTATGTACGTGTGTGTCCTGTGGTTGAAGTGGTGAATAATGCAACACGCTCTTTAAAGTTTTATACAGAAAAAAAGAAGTCTGAGAAACCAGATCTGGATTTATACAGCAGCCCTTTCTCCCTCTTCTAACACTTAAGCATGCGTGGCCACTGACAAGAGGCGAAAACAATAAGAGATGCAGTTGAATTGTGTGAATTATAGAGACTTGAGCTAGAAAATCTATAAACCTTTGATTTTCTTAGAAAATAGGGTGGATAGCAAGAATGAGGTAAAAAGAAACAACACTTGAGTTGCATAAACGATGCAATCAAGATCTAAACTCTTCTCATCAAACAGCCAATGGCATAAAAAACAACATCTGAAAACGTAGCCCTATACTGTACATAACGCACACTACGGGGCGGTATGACGCCATTCGTTTTCGCGATTACCAGCTGACTGCTTACCTCCATGTGGACAGCTTTTCCGCTGTTACCAGTTTGTCCAGTGGCTTGACATGCATGTTGAGAAATTTGTGACATGGAGCAAAGTTGATCGCAATAATGGGGTTCAAGTCCAGCAATGAATGGTTCCAGAAAGCAGGTGAGACAAAAACAAAAGCCAAAAAATAAAATCAACAAGTATATAACAGGGTGAGAATGAGGTGAAATCTGAAAATGTGGTGAAAAGCAGGCTGCTGTGAGCTTTTCTTTTCCTGGATTGCTTTTGAAAACACTGTCGGTTACGTTTAACAAAGTGGGTGGGTGGCCGTATCAATTCCTGCTCTTTAAAACACTATCAGTTGGGTTTAGGGAAGGACAGGGCTTAAATTGCACATAATTTTACCAATTCCCCTCCTCAACCGTCCTCCTCCCCGTCCGCTGTTCATTTTCAATTTCTTCCGCGACTCAATCTTCAAATGTCACGGACAAAAGTAAAGAGGATTGCTCTTTACTTTCATCCGTGACATTTGAAGATTGAAATTTGATATCTCAAAAAGTGTACACAGCTGCCACTGGTGGATCCATGAAAACAAAAACTGCAAAAAAAAAAAAAAACGTACCTCCTGGGGCGTATTTGGTGCTCTGCAGAAACTTATATAGGGGTACGTTGCCAGTATGAACTTGGGTTGCATAAAAAAGTACTGAGAAATCAAACTCAAGTAAAAGTAGCATTACTTGAAAAAATTAAATGTATAATGCGAGTAAAAGGATCTATTCTGAAAAATGCCCATAAAGTGTAAGTAAAAAGTAGCCCTTCTAAATTATGCTGTGTAATATACAACCTTATACCCTGCTAATTAAAATTGTAGCCTACATCAGTACCAATTTTTAACAGTGTTTCTAAAAGTTAATTGATTTTCCATTCATGGACTATTAATTTAAAATGTGACATTCATTTAATGTGAGAACAAATTACATTAAAATATGCACTTATAATAATACGACAGAAAGGAGGTTGATGCATTTACATACTGAGCAAAATCTGTGCAACCTAAGGGGCATAAACCAAGATCGAGTTGTGTTGCACTGATAGAATACATGCATGGTTTTTCAAACATTCTGTAGTGCATTTAGTTATTTTTACTACCATTTTGTGATTTCTATCTTACAGATGGTGTCCTTCATCTTCTTATTGGTAACATGCAGTTTTAAAAGTCTTCTTCATAAACACTTTTAATATACAAATACACTTCATTGAACATGTACATGTACACATAGACATCACCTATACTATACACCTGCAGGTATGAACCCAGTTCTGGGAAACACTCATACACTCTCGCATTCACACACACTATAATACACTACGGCCAAATTAGTTCATCCAATTCACCTCATGTCTTTGGACTGTGGGGGGAAACCCACGCCAACACGGGGAGAACATGCAAACTCCACAGAAATGCCAACTGGCTAAGCTGGGACTTGAAACAGCTACTTTCATGCCATCCTCACTTTAAACAGCTTTAGCATGATCACTAAAATGACCTCTCAAAAATTCCACAGGAATAGTTGGAATAATCATGTTTTCATGTGCATGCCCAAAATGTGCAAAGCAATTCAAACTATTAAGACTCATGATGTGGCTAAGTGTAAATAAGCCATAAAAGTTCAGAGAAGTCAGTCCTTTTCTCTTTGTTCTGCATAACAGCAATCTGATGAAAAACATTTTTCAGCCTAGCAAAAAAAAAAGAAGAGAGTTGGCACGTTAGCACCATTCCCACTTCAACCACTTTGGAAACTATTCTATCACTTCCTTTCAGAGTCTTACTCATTTTCTCTTCGCAGCCAAAAATAAAACTCAATAGTGACTACATTACCCATAAGCTGCAGTGCTGAACTACACCAGTCTGCTCTCCATCAGAACCAGATGCTCTCTGTCCCTGTTTGACAAATTGCTGCAGCTTGGGCTCAGGAATGTCTAGCTCTCAGTTTTGGGGTTTTCACATTCCTAAACAAACGTAAACTGTTGCTTTTTTCTCTCTCTTTACATCTCCCATTCTTATTTACCCAACTCTCTTATCGCTGTTTCTCTTTTACAAACATTTTCACATACTGTACATGATTAAAATTTCTCAGAAGAAATCACAAGCAGCTCGATACAACAGGCCAATCCAGAGCCTATAAAGAGGGAGACAGAACAATAAACACCTTAAAATAAATTAGGAGGGGTAAATAAATAAATGGAGAACAGCGTGAGCTAATAAAATACTAAACTGTGACTAATGAGTGGTAAAAAACTAGAAAGAGCAGCAATGCATCAAATTCGCAATAATAAACACATTGTCAAATAATAAAAACATTATTTATAGCAAATGCAATTAAGGAATGTATATTCAAATAAGTAATACAATAATAGTGAGAAAAAATGAGTGAGCCTGTAGCAAAGATAAATGACAATGTCTTAAAAATGTTTCTGTTACACTGTATAAAATGTGACCTGTTGCCTTAACATTATTGCGTTGATGAACTTTGTTAATTCAACATAAAATTTCCAAGTTATATTGGGTTTACTCACTTTTTAGGTGCAGTCAACTTGTTGCTTAGAAGACAATAGGTCTACTCACTTTTTTTTTTTAAGTAAAGTATATAATCATTTTTAGGGGCAGCATGGTGGCCTAGTGGTTAGCACTGCTGCCTCACAGCAAGAAGGTCACTGGTTCGAGTCCCGGCTGGACCAATTGGCATTTCTGTGTGAAATCTGCATGTTCTCCCCATGTTGGCATTGGTTTCCTCTAGGTGCTCTGGTTTCCCCCACAGTGCAAAGACATGCGCTATAATGATTGCTATACCAGGGGTTCCCAAACTTTTCAGCACGCGACCCCTAAAATAACAATGCCAGTGACTCGCGACCCTCAATATCCTCTGAGGTGGTTATAAATACAGAAACCTTGCATGCAATGGCACACACACACCAATAGACCCAAGTCTATTCTTTGTTTAAATTTTTTTTAATGTATGTCAGTGCTGTAAATGGGCCAGAAAATCAATCTGCTGCATCTGATGCTATTGCTGTCTTTAATATAATGTATTTACCCCAGGGGTCGCAATCCAATAGAACTAGTAAATAAGCTACTATAAAGGACTGTTTTTTTTTCTCTTCAGTTGGTTATGGATAAAATATGGTAATTCTTATGGCCTAATAATAATAAGTAGATTTTTGGAAATCACCAGGCGACCCCCCTTCATTGTTTCGCGACCCCTCCAGGGGTCCCGACCCCCACTTTGAGAACCACTGCGCTATACTGTAGGTGAATTGGATGAACTAAATTGGTTGTATTGGCTGTATTGCTGACATAGTTGGCGCTGTGTCGACTCCTAATAAATAAGGGAAGCCGAAGGAAAATAATTGAATAATTGAGTACTATATTGTAAACGTTCCTCAATTTATTAAAGTTTGGACTGAAGATTCAAAGATTTTAATACAAACTCAAAAATTTCTCATTAAAGTAATTGAGACCAAAATATTTCAGTAATGCTGCACAGTGGCGAAGTGGGTAGCACATTCACTTCACAGCAAGAAGGCCGCTGGTTCGAGCCTTGGCTGGGTCAGTTGGTGTTTCTGTGTGAATTTTGCATGTTCTCCCTGTGTTGCCGTGGGTTTTCTCCGGGTGCTTCACAGTCCAAAGACATGCGGTGTAGGTGAATTGGGTAGGCCAAATTGTCTGTAGTGTATGTGAGTGAATGGGTGTGTATGGATGTTTCCCAGTGATGGGTTGAAGCAGGAAGGGCATCGGCTGCGTAAAACATATGCTGGATAAGTTGGCGGTTCATTCTGCTGTGGCGACCCCAGAATAATAAAGGGACTAAGCCAAAAAGAAAATGAATTAATTAATGAATATTTTAGTAATAGTCGCCACTCTATAGTTTCATTTGTTTACATTATCATTTAGCCTAAAGAACAAGAACAAGAACATTATCTGAGTAAGATAAAGACAAACCCAAACCTTGATCATTTTTTCAATGAATCTTAAATGACACTTTTTAACTCAATTGCATTTGTCGATATTTATATATTCAACAACAACAACACATTTTTTTGAGTGTATTCTAACCTCAGATAATCAGCTCTGCATTACAGCTGATCCCATTCACCCAATGCACAGCTTCTTCAGTCTGCTACTGTCAGGGAGCCTCCAGGCCCGGACCAACAGACTGAAGGACAGCTTTATTCATCAGGCTGTCAGGAAGCTCAACTCTCTCCCGGCTCTCCCACCACTCCCTTCTCCCTCCCCACGCACCTTTGAACTCTGACACAGATGTAAGTACACACACTTACACATCTGCATTGATTACTTTGTGTAACATTGGACTGCCAGTTACCTCATACTAACTCCCTGTATATTATTAAGACATTGTCATTTTATCATACTTACAAGCTTTGCACTACATTCAGTTTGCATCTGCACTTGTCTGGTTTGTACTCCTTGCCCTGTGCGAGGATAAAGGATGAGCCTCCTCTATTTACTTTCTTTTTAATCGTTTGAACCTGCAAAGGCGCATAACACGCTCTGCGCTAGACTTTAGACTGCACCAACAGAGCACCTTAACACATCTGCTTTTTAGACCAGCACACCCATGAGTCCACAAAATAGCACTCATGAATTAGCCATTTAAAAAATGTGGCGCAAAATGTGAATATTAGGGTTATGCTGGTCTGAAAATAGCAACAAATCACACAAAACAGATGTATCGACTTTTGTATTAATATTATCTGTTATGTACCTAGGTTTGAGAGTAACCCAATTTTGATTTTTCTGTACGTCCTGTGCATGTGGTTAAATTGACAATAAAGCTGACTTTGACTTTAATAATGTAATGTAATGTAACTTCAGATAATGTTGATGCTGAAATAAAACCCGTTTAAAGGTACATCATGATCTAATTTTGAGTTTTCCATGTGGGGATGCAATGGTGTTATTAATTTGTGGGTTAAAAACTAAGGTAATGACGCAAGTGTTCTATCTGGTGCTAATGAAAACAGAAAGAGACAGCGTTCAGTGCTGTACTGTCTACGTGTGGTAGATGACAGAATGACTAGTCAGACGCACTCAAGCAAAACAGAGTCCTTAAAAACTCCTTCTCTTTCTCTCTCCTTTCAATGTGCATGTGAAAGGAAACGAGCATCAGACTCACATTTTAACTGCAATGAAGTCAGAGGTTTTGTGTGTATGTGTGTGTGTTTGTCTATTTTGTGGTCTGTTATGGTTTTTCTTGATGATTCACTCCTTTTATTGAAAAGCTCAAACAATGCCAGCACTGTCTGGGCTTCGACACACACACACACACACACACACTCTCTTACAAATGAATTCTGTCTTGCTTCAAGGAAAATGTGTCCTTTACCAGATCTTTTTGATTTCTGTATATTCAGAACTTTTAGTACATCTCTGAATAAGTAGGATTAGTGATTTAAACCTGCATGAACCCAATAGAGGAATAATTACCCAACCCCTTCTTTTTTATCTCACCTTCTTCATCTGTCTATTTCCATCAGGTGAGTCAATTCATCATCAGAAAAAGTGTCAGTGGTCACTAAGGAGGCGGCGTTCCCATTTCGGTCCAATTGGGAATATCCTAACGTCTGGATTCCTATTAAAAGAACCTACTTTAGAGACCAGGCTCCTGCTTTGGCGGACAAAGTCCATCCAACCCAAACGATGCCAGAGACTCTTAATCATCAACACGTGAGTCATTCTGCCCCTCAAGACCAGACCTGAAAGTAAATGTTAAATAGTTTTTAAACATTACACAAACATGTCAGGATGTTTTCTGTTCAGGAGTGAGCAGAAGCATCTGAATTTGTCTTGTGATTAGCAAACACCACAAGACGTTTGGCACAAATGATGCTCTAAAGCAAAGTCAGACATGCTGACAAACAACTGACCTTCCCAAAAGGTTGCATACAACCAGAATTGGGAAAAAAAAAATGTTGCGTAAGACTGCTGAGACGACAAGAAAATCTGTGGTTTCAATCCTCTGTGCCTTCAAAAGTAGGAAAGAAGGACAGGAAAAAAACAGCATTCAGTGAGATATCACTGGAAAGTCTTTATTTGGTGTGCATGCTAAGCAAATGGGACTTTGAAGTCGACTTATCTCTGACATTCACATAGCGTTTTTGCATTTTGCCTCCATAGTTGCAGTCTCATGGAACTAATTTGTTGTGAAGCAGCAGTTACACTTTGCTTATTAATGAATGAATAATTAATGTACAATGCTGTTCAGACATTTACAGATCCCATGCAGAATAGGCTACAGTTTCATAATTGTTACAAACTTGACAAGTGTTTTATTCACACTTTATTTTAAGGTATATTCATTAATTTTCCTTCAGCTTAGTCCCTTGTTTCCACAGCAGAATGAACCGCCAATTATTAAAGGATGTGTTTTACAAAGCAGATGCCCTTCCAACCGCAACCCAGTTCTGGGAAACACCCATAAACCCTCACACACTAATACACTATGGCTACCTTAGCTTATCCAGATCACCTTTAGCGCATGTGTTTGGACTGTGAGGGAAACTGGAGCACCTGGAGGAAACCCACACGAAAACAGGCAAACTCCACACAGAAATGTCAACTGGCCCCGGCCGGGACTTGAACCAGCCACCTTTTTCCTGTGAGTTGACAGTGCTAAACACTGAGCCACCGTGCCACCCCTATTTTAAGGTACATGTGGTTATTAACTGCCTATTTACAAACTTTAGACTTTTTAATAAACTCTTTAATAATTTTAACACATTTGGCAATTCCTTCATTTACACTTTAGTTTAAACTACTATCTGGCTATTAACAAATCTTTAATTATGACTTTAGACTTTTAAATAAACTCTTTTAGGCATTGGGTGGGATTCTGAATGTAGAATGCAGAATATGTACTTTATAAGTACTAATAAACAGCCAATATCTTAACAATAGACAGGTAATAAGCCACTAGTTAATGAGGAGAGAAAATAAAATTTACAATTCTGCTCAGACAATTGCAAATTCCATGAAGAATACGCAACATTTTCATAATTTAATGTACAATTCTGGCTATTAACAAACCATTAACTATAACTTTTGCCTCAATAAAGTATTTTATGTATTGAGTAGGATTCTGGAAGTAGAATAAAATCATGCAGAATAGATACGATTATTTCACATAACAGATATTTGCATATATTGTACATTCATTCATTTATTCATTCATTTTGTTTTTCGCCGTTGACCCTTTATTAATCAGGGGTCACCACAGCAGAATGAACCGCCAACTTATCCAGCATATGTTTTACACAGCGGATGCCCTTCCAGCCGCAACCCAACACTGGGAAACATCCATACACTCTTGCATCCACACTCATACACTACGGCCAATTTAGTTTATTCAATTCACCTATAGCGCATGTCTTTGGACTGTGGGGGAAACCGGAGCACCCGGAGAAAACCCACATAAACTATATTGTACATACATTTATATTTTTGCTCATGCTTTTATCCAAATAGAGTCAATAAAAATACTGTAGAAGCAGTCAGACCAGCAATAGAAACAGAACAGTTTGCCTGTGATAACATTTCCTTGTTAATCTAGTAGTCTGAAATAAATAAGCACACAAAAAATGATTCTGCTGAAAGTGCTTGTAAAAACAGATTGAGGATTGGTGAGAAAGTTTCTTAAAAATGGCTAAAGACTCAACTGCTCGAGCTAAGATTAAGTCATTCCTCCAGCAAGGAACAGTCAATGACAAGGTCAATGAAAGTGATTTTGGGCTGTTTTAGGGTTGCACCACAATACATTGTTTACCCGCAGGATGAAAGCATTTACACCAAAAGTAAAAAGCAATATATTAAATGAACCCTTGATTTATAATAATGTGGGTCATTATGACCTGATGATTCACATATTCAAAACTTGCATATAAATATCTGTTATGTGAATTAGCCTTTTGTTTTTTTACATTTTTTCAAAAGAGTATTGTAAAATTAAGAGCATAACTGTGTATATTGCTAACAAATTCCACATTTTATTATAGATGGCAAATTCAAATAAGAATAAGGGTGTTCAAATATTATCTACATCATTAAAATACATCATGAATCAGATCTGAAAATCCCATAAATATATAAATTATATTCCACCCTCATTTGCAAATGAATAACCTACAGGTCTGATGAAGTAAAAAGGCAGGTTAAATACTGCTCAGATTTAAGGGTTTTGCAAGCAGCTGTTAAGTGAGGTGGGCTATTACTTGTAGAGCTGAAGTCTGTTATCTTCATCAAACTGAGGCGGATAATAAAAGGAGTAAAAAGTACCATAAATTTGCATTAAAGGAGAAACTTGAGACCGATTTATCAGTGAGCTGCTTTTCACTACAAAAGCAACCTTACAGAGCACCTAGCAACCACATACAGCAGCAACACCTTGGGTAAAACATGAAAAGGAGCTTATATACCAAAAAGATCTTGTCAGAAATTGATCCTGTTAGAACAGAATCACATGATGAGATATTTAAAAGAAGATTTTTTGGTCCCAAAAATACAAATTAAATTACATTTTATTTTTACATGATTTGTCGATATTCTTCAAACAACAGCACACTTCTCAGCTAGATTTGGTTTATTTAAGATTTAGCAAAGATTTGTATGATCACTCATTGTTTTATTTAAAAATTAAAATATTAAGCGAAAATTGGGACAGTTATTTGAATTAAGTAGACATTTAGCTTTTTTAAGTTACCAGCCACTGCAAGCATTTTTGATGATTTTCACCTTTCAATTTGTTGGCTATGAATATTCTGTATATTATATATCAATATAATGAGCCAAGACTCTTAAGAACTTTTAATCTTCAAGGGTTTATTACCACCTGAATGCAGATAAAGTTTTCATTAAAAATACAAAATGTTTGACAAAAAAAAGAAAGAAATGATCTGATTGCAACGGCCATTAAGCTGCTGTCTGTGATCATGTCCAAACAATGATCAAAGACCACAGAATTTAGCTTAAAAACACAGAAACCAAATCTTGGCTGAAATTGCAAAATGTGATCGGATCTACTTTTTATTTCATATACCTTGGAGTCTCTGAAATACTCATTTAATACCTACACTAAGGCCCCGTTTACACTAGTGCGTTTTAGTTTTAAAACGACGTTTTAGAATGAAAACGATCCGCGTCCACACTCGCGTTTTACCCAGCGTTTCTGAACTGCTCTCTGTCCACACCAAAACGCTGAAAACGCACATCATGTGACCACACAGACACTCTCGGGCAAGCGCTGCAGCCCATCTACCCAGATGAGAGCTGTGCTAGTCGGACTACTCATCAAGCATCTCCTGCTGAATCTAATCTCACTATATTTATTAAACGGGATATTTCATTCATCTTGTTGTCTTTATCTAACGACATATTCCCTGACTTTGGTCATTGGAATCTATTACTTGTTCTCAGGTAGCGTGTTTTGGCTGAGCGCAAAGATAAGTTAATGATTAATGTAACCACGTAGCCTATTCTGTATATTGACTGATCGCTTGCCTTTATTTTCTATAATGTATAAACTTATTGTATGTTATACTTTTATAATGGCCATTATCGATTATTAAAACTGATATTCAGCAAAAGAGAGGATGTGTTTCGTATTTTCACTGAAATTGAAAGGAGACAGTTGTTATCGGCTCCGTTTTGTTATAAATATCCACACAGTGAAGATGACGCTCATGCAGCACGACGCCTCAACATTTCTGCTGTCAGTTGTTAATATTAAAATGAAAATAGGCAGTTCCTTAAACCATGTTTACATTTTATTGTTGAGAAAGTAAAACAACGTAGCCAGGGTGATGTGAATGAAGTTATAAAGTACACCGTTCCCTTTGAAGATTGACGCGTGTCCTCTGTATAGTCTGCTTTTCCACATCAAACTGAGAAGAATAGACTGCAGCCTTAATCAAACTTGCGAAGTCTGAACTTACACGGAGAGAATGCAGGACTGAACTGTGTGTGTTAGGCTACTTAATATTCAGGAAAAGCCCCAATCAGAGAGGCAAATGTCTGCAGCCCCGCCTCCGTTTTCAGATGTCTCTGTTTTCCATCAACCTCACTGAGACGGAGCAGCAGCGTTTCAGGATGAAAACGGCCTCTCCAGCGTTTTCGAAACGCTCCGTTTTCGATGCTCGAGAACTCCGGCGTAGTGTGGACGGTTGGCGTAACCGTAGCAAAACTTAGTGTAAACGGGGCCTAAGGCTTCCCTCACTGTAATACACCTAAAATACAGATTGCTATAAAACTTGTTAAAGGTGGGAAATCTCTCTTAATGGTCCCGTAAAGCTTTAAAATGTGAATTTTTATTTGATGTTTGACGTAATGTCAACCGAAACACGAAGAGAGAATATAAGATGACATAGCATAGCTCCTCCCCTTTTTAAAAACAGCCAATAGCGTTTTGTTTTCTCACAACTCTGCCAGTGAGAGTGGTTGAGCTCAAGTGCATCAAACGAAAAGCACATGTGAAGTGTCTTGAAGTGGGCCGGGCATGTCAGATACTAGAGAGCATTTGATTGGTCAGAAGATTTGATGACAAACTGAAGTATGATGTGATGTGAATAAAACCGTTGATCTACTGACGTGAAAGTGACCTGCTACAAGCTTTACATGTTTATATCAGTTTTATATTTTCTAAACACAAATGTTGTCACTGTTTAGGAGCATAGTAG